TCCCTCAGTGAGTTTAGTTGATGTGTGCACATTATGTACACATCAGCTACCCTCATTGTAACTTCTTGTGTTAGCTGAGGGAGTATAAAATGCTCATTTTCATACAAAAATGTTACTGATTACCTGATGATTGTTAGAAAAAACATTCAACTTGTAGTAGTTGAATGTTCATCAGAAAATTCTTTATAAAATTATATTATACTATGCCATTTTTATTTCAGTGTGCCTTTGTAGCATACTTCCATAGTATATATATATATATATATATATATATATATATTAAGTGAAACAGATGATGGGATAAGTAAAACATGACAAAATAAAAATTTTTCAAATTGTCTTATATATTTACCATTATGCTGGGCTTTCATTCAAAAGTATTTCAGTTATTTAAAAAAATATTTAGAAAACATTTAGGATTTGTCAAATGCAAAGATATTATCAAAAAAGAAAAAGACCCTATGTTTAATGTATAAATCTGACAAATGTATTTACTCTTCACACAAATTGCATATTAAAGAAAAATGTAAAAAGAGGAAAGCTCTCAAAGTTCCCAAAGGTTTTTAAGTGGTTCAACAGATTTTCACTCAACAGTTTAAAAAATCATTCCCTGTGTGTGGGTTAGTCAGCAGCTAAAAATTTCTTGAACCATTCTTCTGTTTGTCTTCCAAAAATATTTTCTGTGAAATAGAAGAAATTTTTACTGCTTTTGTTGAAACTGTTTCTTTTGAATATTTCTGAGGATATGTTGTTAGAGAAGTCGAACAGTGGAAATAGATGGGTGAGAATTTGTACTTGTCTTCATGACATTTTTGTGAACCGGTATAATTAACAAGTAGATATCAGTCATAGTCTTGACAAAATGTTATTTAACAAAAAAAAACTCCTTAAGAAGATTGACTTCTCATTGCTCTAGAGTGTCATGTCTGGCTGATGTGCTCACACTATTGATGAAAATATTCATTGATTTGTATCCATGGGAAAAAAAAAATAGATTCTTGCATGAACATTTCTATAGAAATAATTTTTTAGGCTCTTAAAGATAACAAGAAAATATTTGGCATTCATTGACCAGGCAGCCATTACTACTGTCAGTTGAAATTTATAAAATTTCGGAAAATAGGTTCTTATCACTTTTACCAGAATTGATGGGAGTGAGTTTCCCTTCCTAAACTTTCATTTGAAGCATCTAAACCGAAATATCAGAAATATCTAAACTATCAGCTATATATTTGTCTACATTTCTGAGATGAGGTATTATGTACATTATTTACATTATTCAGACTATTGTCTTCATCTTTGTCGCTATATTTATTACAACTTTTCAGCTGACCTTGGTTAGATCCAGTGACAGGACCCAAAGAGTGTGAGTTCAACACCCGGTTAAGGCAGTGGAGAACTTTCAGAGGGAAAATTAACAGGAAATAACTGATAACTGACATCCATTAAACATGGTATGTGGAACTAGAACAGTCTACCCCAGCGAGTGAAATAAAGGGTTCAGTTCGACATTCCAACCACCTGAAGAAGGCCGGAGCGTACAACAGCTGAAACGTAATAAATATGGCGACAAAGATGAGAACAATAGTCCGAATAATGTAAATAATGTATCAGCTATATATAACCACTTTCTAAGATCAATAGTTAAAAATCATCTGTTTAGAACCCAAAGGGTTTTTGCTTTGTGGGATGGATGATAAGCTTATATTCAGTCCACTTTCGTACCAAAAATAACTAACAGTAAGTAATTAAATGAAGATTTGATATTTATACACACATACACATATATATTATTATATATATATATATATATATATATATATATATATATATATATTATTATAAAAGAAAAAACAACACTTAATAATATCAACTATGAACATGGACACAATATCTTGACCATGTTTTAAAAAATGATACATTATATAAATACATACATGCAACAAACTATTTCTTTTTATCAATTAAAATATTTCATCCTTGAAAATGGCTAAATGTATAGCCGAAAGTGATCAGAATAAAAGAACATTTGGACAGTTTTTATATAATTTATCATCTGAAAAGAAAAAATATTAGATTGCATGAGAAATTGTATAAAAAAACTAAATCAAAGCACTTTGTCTGTCATATTCAATGAAATGTCCATGAAAGAAGGATGCATATATATATATATATATATATAGTAATGGTAATATTAGCCATTTCCTCAGTTATAACAAATTTAGTATCGGAGAAAAAGAAGTTGAACATAGGCTGCTCACATGGTACATTTGCTCAATGCTGCAAATTTGTACAAAACCAAAACATTAAACCTGAAGACTCGAGTCACATACTTAACTAGCTTTGTAACATCAGGACTTTCATATGGATGCCATACATTGCATTGTGAAGATTGTGTTGTGCATGAAACTAATTCATACTACCAGTGAGAAATAATATGTATATTTATTAATATATACATAAGAGTTCTGTTTTATTACATTGAGGACTATTTTATTAACACCAGCATTCAATGTGCAATTTACTTTTCTTCTTTACTTCATACATTTACAATACACTTGTATTACCATTCCTTTCTTTTTTTCTTCACCCTTCATTTTTTCTTTCTTATATTTTTGTTGTTTCTTCTCCAAACATATATATTTCTAATGTAAATATGACAAACATATGCATTTTCAATTAAATATTGTATATATATATATATATATATATATATATATATATAGAATATGATCATGGAATATTAGTGTTTATTATATATATATATATATATATATATATATATATATATATATATTTAATAAAAAAAGAATTTTCCATGTATGCTTCTTATAATATATAGATATACTGATGAAAGAAATCTGAGAAATATTGATAATTGATATAATAATATACAAGAAATATTAATATTTTAATTATTATTATTTTTCATTGGCCTACACACACACACACACACACACGCATGTGCACACAGACACATAAATGCATAAATATATATATATATATATATATATATATATATATATATATATGTTTTGAACTATAAAAAAATATTAAAAATTAAAATCTTCAGACACACTGGGTTGTGTATTAATATTTTTTTGCTTTTATTATTTCAGTTAGATTCCTCAACTAGTTTCATCAGGAGAAAAAAAATTTCTGCTTGTTAGTAGCAGTAAACTACAGAAATGAATGACTTGATAAAGTAAATGTACTTTATCTTTAGTTTTCATTTGTTTTTTATTTTTTTTAACATGAATTTTGGTCAGTCCTTGTGTTGGTCAAACAATGTCTTAAGTTGTTATTTAAAATAAGAGCTGGATGGATCTATGCTGCTCTGAATTTCCTTGGTTGTTTTGACAGTTTTATTGGTTCCTGGTAAGGGGATGTGTCTCTGTTAAGTGTGTGTGTGTTATTTGGTTCTTAGGGAGTGAGTGAGTATGATGTGTGTAAGTGCGTATATTAGTATGGGTGTGTGTTATCATTTGGCGCATTAGGGAGTGAGTGAGTATGATGTGTGTAAGTGTGTATGTAGAATATTGGGTAAGTCATTTGACTTCTACAGTGTATATTAGTATAGCTGTGAGTATAAGTGTGAGGCCTCAACACCTCTGCAAGTATGTCTATCTTGTATGGGTGGGAAATGTGGATAGGTCCTGATTTGTGGGGTTATATATTAATTCTATCTATGTTGTTAAATTTGTGATTAAGCCCATTTAGATGAAGCGTTCTCAGGCATTGAATCCATTTATTTTCATGTCCTTCTAAAATCTATCTAATTTATCTGCTCTGAACTTTTCTATTTTCTCAATTATAGTGAATTTGGCATGGGTTTTAAAATCGTGTTTGTGTAGGTGGAAATTTTGTTCTACATGTAATAATCTTTCATGGGGTGTCGACTTAATTCGCTTACGATAATTATTAATTCTGTAGTGAAAGGGCCATTCAGATTTTCCTACATATTGTTTCTGGCATAGTGTGCATTCTAGGAGGTAAATTATGTTATGACTTCTACAGTTAGAATTGTGGTAGATTTTGAATGTAGATTTAGTGATTGAGCTAGTAAATGAATTTGTGTGTCTAATGTGGTTACAGCATAAGTTCCTTTTGTTGTTACATGGTTGAGAAAATCCTGTTTTTGTTTTATTACGGATCTCCTTTTCCCCTGAAATATGGTTACTACCTATGATTTCCTTTAGGTTCTTGGGCCTACGATATGCTAGAAGGCCGGGTTCCTTAAACAATTTTTTTAGGTCTGGTTTGAGATGTAGTATTTCCCAGCGACTTTTAATTATTTGGGATAGTGGAGGCAGAATGGGGTTGAAAGTGGTTACTAGAGGGATGTGGCTGGGTTTATTTTTAATCTTGTACATTAGGGTGTCTTCTCTATGTGTGGAAGTTGCTTTATTTATTTCTTCCCTTATTAGGTGTTGTTTATAGCCAAGTGTTGTGAATTGATGCTCTTGATTTTGGGTGTGCTTATTTAGTTCTTTATTGTTGGAACATATACTTCTGAGTCTAAGTGCTTTTGAATAGGGAAGGTTCTCCTTGAGGTGTTTAGGATGGGAAGACTTAGTGTAAATAGTTGTGGGTGTTGGTGATTTTAGTGTATAGTGTCATTTGTAGTTTTCTGTTTTCATCTATGTAGATACCGGTGTCTAAAAATGTTACCAATCTTGTAGAATTTTCATAGTCAAACTTAATAGAGTCATGTACTGTGTTTAGAGTCATGAATTTTGGGTAAGGAATTGGGTAAGTTGGTCATCACTGCCTGTGTATATAAAGAACATATCAATATATCATAGTGTGTATATATATATATATATATATATATATATATATATATATATATATATATATATATATAAATGCATATATTAATCAGCCTGTGAAAATCCATTGTTGAACATAGACCTTTTGCCAGATTTTTCCATCTTTGCTGTTCATGGAAAGGAATGGGCTATTACATTACCATGCAGGCCCACTGCCTGTTGGTAGAGGCTTACAGCACCTGGTATTCCCAAGTAGTCACCCAGCTAGGTATTGACCAGGCCCAGTGTTACTTAACTTCAGTGATTGAATGAAAAACAGCATTTCAATGCGGCATGGTTGTAAGCATATATATATATATATATATACACACACACACTCTATTTAGATTGTTCAGATTGTTGTCCTCATCTTTATTGTCATATTCACAACATTTCAGTCACTCTTTGCTCTGGCCTTCTTCACGTGGTTGGAATTTCAAAGCAGACTCTTTATTTCATCCACCGGAGTAGATTTTCTAATTCCACGTGCCATGCCTCAGTTTCAGTTCCTTCCCTTTTGTAACTCAACTCTCTAAGTTTTTGTTCACCTTTCTGACCAGGTATTGAACTCAGAACTCTTTAGATCAAGTCACTAGATTACTTCAACCAAGAATTTTATCCAACAGTACAGTTCAGAAATACACACACATGCACACATACATATATACATATATATATATATATATATTCAATGTTAGTATTGATGAAATTTCTAAAAAAAAAAATAACTTGAATGTTGTTCTAAACTAAATTGCTCTACTTAACAAGAATTTTTGATTAATCTCTCAATATCAGAACTTCCAGTACAATACTCTATCGAGCTATCAAGTTAAATGAAATTTAATTTACTTATGTAAACTAACATCATCCAGTCAAATATTTCTGTTGAGTTATGCCTAGTAGACAATATTAGATTTTCTCTGATATTCTTGAAATTTACTTGCCACCATTTTAAAACTGGAGACTAACTTTTGAACCTTTAAGTCTCTAGCTTCATACTCTAACAACTGGGCTCCCAGTAAGAAGCAACATTTAGCATATGTGCAAAACCTGGAGGATGAATAATATTAGTTGAAGTCTTGCAGAAAATAAATTGAAATCTGAATCGTATTACAAACAGATCAATGTGCATCAATAATTCCTCATCTCAAATAAACACCCAGTGGTAATAAAAACAGTGTTTGGGACAATAGTCAGAAAATATCAATAAGAATCTATTACAGCTTGTAAAAACAGAATTATATGTTACATGGTACATATTTCAAATGCGTTTCTATTTGAATTATGAGAAAGACCATGATTTATAATCAGTCAAATTTTAGAATTTAGAATTGTTTATTTCATGTTTTATCTTCGTTCTTTCTCCAACTCTTTTAAAATAGAGTTGTTGGTGCATGAACTGCATTGCATTATGGGATACCATGCACAGGCAGTGTAGATTTTTTTTTTTCCTATATTATGCATCTTTTTCTTTCTTTTACACATTGGTATATTTTTATTGAATTTGAAAAATAGTCATTGAAGATGGATTATACGAGGAATCGTCTTTCAGGATTATAAAGACTGGAAAACATGGCTTTTTGCAGCATCTGGTAGGAATGGAGAATCATTACAATAGTCTTTTAAGATATCCAGTAAAGATTGGACATTGTGGCACTCACTCTTTAGGACAACCGATAAGAACTGGACATAGTATCAGTAGGATTTTAAGACATCTAATAAGAATTTGAGATAGTAGCAATGCCTCTTTAGAACAACCAGTAAGAATTGGACATAGTATCAATGGCTTCCAAGACATCCAGTAAGGATTGAACATAGTAGAAATGGGATTTTAAGACATCCAGTACAGATTGGTTATAGTACCTTTAAGACATCCAGTTAGGATTAACATAGTCGGAATGACATTTTAAGACATCCAGTTAGGATTGAATATAGGAATGCCATTTTAAGATACCCAGTACAGATTGGATATAGTACCAATGACCATTTAGGCATCCAATCAGTATCAGATAAATTTACAGTGGTTTTGTGGAATAGTGAATATATTAATATAAAACAATTTATATTTAAATTATGGGAAAACATTTGTTTTTTTGCTATCAACAAATACCTAAAAAAGTTTCGTTTGTCACTGTTTAGTATAAGATGCTAACTTCTTTTATTATTCATATCTAGATAACAAAAATATTTTTTTATGCTTCAAAATTTAATTTCCTACAATGATTTTTCTACTTTTCATATTATACAGGGTGTGGCAGAAATACCTCCCACAGACATTGTAAGACATTGGTTCTAGATTAAGATACAATCCACATTAATGTCTTACCATTATGTGGTTAGTATTTCTGGGAGGAATATATGGGAAGCATTTCTGTTGCAACCAGAATTTTTATTAGAAACTTACTGGAACATGTGGAATGTAAACAAAATATGTGTTCATGTCCATGCCCATGATCAATGAAAATGAAACATGATGAAAATAAGACATTTTTAATTGGCAACAAAGGTTGTCAAATAGATGTTCCTTAATGATACATTTGTTTCAAATTGCTATAAAAATGCTGTCAGACTCCTCTTCAACAGATCTACATAACTCTTTTGCTATCATTATAACAGCTGTGTCTCAAGTTTAAACTTGTCCAACACAGATGGCTAATTCAGCCATTTTACTAAAATAATTGCTGAAAAATATTAATGGATTTGCTTCTGATAGTTTGGATTTGAGTAAAACATTCATGTGGCGTGAAAGGGGTTTTATTTGAACGATTAATGCTCACAATAAATTTAGTATTAAATGTAAAAATAAAAATACAGTAATAAATTTGGGTTTATAACAATCCTGTACTCTTCATTGGTTTATAAAAATCAAATACTGTTTATTGATTTATAAAATTCCAGTTCTCTTTAATGGCTTATAAAAATTGAATACTCTTTATTGGTTTATAAAGATGAAATAATCTATTGGTTTATAAAAGTCCAATACTTTTTACTGGTTTATAAAAGTCCAATAATCTTTATTGGTTTATAAAAATCCAATACTCTCTATTGGTTTATAAAAATCCAATAGTTTCTATTGGTTTTATAAAAACCCCATATTCTTTATTGGCTTATAAAAATCCAGTAGTCTTTATTGGTTTATAAAAATACATTTTATTGGTTTACGAAAAACCCAAAACCCTTTATTGGCTTATGTGGCAGACGTGATGAGACAGAACCTGGGACGAGCACAACTGGTTGCAACTTGCCTTGTCCCCGCCAAAAAAGAGCCAGTATTTGCTTAGCATGTAAAGCTACTGCAGTTGAAATGAGGGAGAAAAAAGCACTTACCGCTCTGCCGTAATCCGTCCTCGGCCAGATAACGTAAGAGAATGAAGGGGGACTTGCATTGCATTTTTATGCAATGAAGATGCAATGCATTATGGGACAGGGACACAATGAATTATGGGATCGCATGAAGACGCAAGGGATTATGGGTATATGGATAAATATAAAAGCAACTACTTTTTCCCAGTGGGGGGGGGTTCTTTGAGTGACGTTCACAGTTGACGGCTGGAAAAGTCTGTTAGTGCGATTTTGAGACAGAACTCAAGAAAGAACGACTCGAGGTTGGAATACCAGCTGGGAGAGCTTGAATTTACTCACTAGTGCTGTTTTCTTTTTATTTCGCCACAGCTTATAAAAATCCAATACTCTTCGTTGGTTTATAAAAATCTGTTTTATTAATTATAGATTTGTACCTACAACCCATTAATTGTTACTGTGCCCCTAATAAGGTAGTGAACATTAATGTGTTAATTTATAACTCATGACATGGCATTGAATCCAAATCTATACAAGTAAATCAAATGTAGAAACAATGTGGTAATTATCTATTTATATACATGATTAACTACTCATATTAAATAACTATTTAATTATTTATATTACCTTATTATTTAATTAGCTTATATAAATAAATGTCAATTCCAATTAAAAGGAAAGGTTTTATCATAAAATGAATTCCTTTTGAACACAAAATGTTTAAAATAAATCATTTAAAATTAACATATTTTCAAACACTGCCTTATCCTATCAGTAACACTTGCCTTAATTCATCTTCCTGATTTTCAGTTTACAGCACTAATAGAGATCAAGATTTACTAAAACAAGGTTAGTGTAAAAAATTATAAAATTCTTTTCTTACTCATCATTTTTCCCCATGCCTCCAAAAATATTTAGTTTGTTAGTATAAAAATGCCTAAAATTCAGCAAGGAGATGGTAAAGTAGCCATAAAGTCAGTGGCCAGTATTTAATAGATTGTATCAAATTACATAAACAGCTACTACAACTATATGCCATGTCACTTCAAGACATTGGCATTCATGGCTCTCTACAATTTCTTGTCCTTTGTAGCTCTTAATAATTTTTTCTTTTTGTTATCTCTTCTTCAATCCATTTACTCAAGCTTGCCAGGTAGGTTATTCATTGTTTCCTCTGTCTCTCTTGCCTTTGATATGCCCTGTGAGTATTAAATTTTCCAAGCCCTCTTTCCTCAATAGGTGCACAAGAAATTTCAACTCTTTCTAATGTTAAGTATAAGTGACAGTTTTACTTCCATTTTCTCTAAAACTTTGTTGTTGATCACATATTTTGTCCATGATATTCTCAACATTCTTCTGTAGAACCAGATTTCTTTTGGTTCATGTCTCTTCTTTGTCTGCAAGAAGATTATCCAGCATTCAATGCCATGTATGAGAACTAATAGTTCACTACTCTTTTCTTTGCTTCCAACTAAATTTTCCTGTCTTTTTAAAAATCTGCTTAGCTTTTGGAAGGCATTTTTTGCTATCCCAATGCACCTTTGGATTTCAGTAGATAAACAGAGGATGAAAAAAATACTATTTAGCAATTCAATAATTTCAAAGTTTAACAATGAAAAAAAACATTATTACATAACATATTTACACTATTTACATCGTTCGGACTGTTGTCCTAATTCACAACATTTTGGCTGTTGTACACTGACCTTCTTCAGGTGATATTACAGAGTGCTAGAAAAAAACAACAATAACAACAAATTGTAATATGAGCTCTAGTAAAAAAAAAATTACTAAGACATTATGTTTATAAGTCTGAAAAATTCATACACTGATGTCCCCAAGGACACATGGATAAAAACATTGGTTGAAGTAATCTAATGACTTGACCCAAACAGTTGTGAGTTCAATACCTGCCCACAGCAGAGGTGAATGAAAACTTGGTGAATTGAGTTACTAAAGGGAATTAACTGAAACTGAGATACCAGAAAAGTATGGTACGTGGA